CTCCTCCTCCTCCTCCTCATCATCATCATCATCACCATCTTTATCAACATCATCATCATCATCACCATAACTCTCCCCCTTCTCCTCTTCATCTTCCACCTCCTTGTTCCCCTCACCAGCTCCTCTTTCGAAGCGTGATGGAAATGAGACGATACGTGCACGGATATAGCCGATGCGTGTGGCGATCCCCTTGCAGCAAGTATACCTGGGGTGGGTCTCCTGGCAGCATACATGGAGGGAGGGTTATGGCTCTATACTCGCGTACGTACTCGAGTATCTACAGCTACAGAGGCGCACCGCTGGAATGATGATGGCTCAGATGCGCCATGCCAGAAATCTGTTGACTTAACCCACAACGAGAGAAAGTCAACACATTATGCCGAGGTGGAGGTAGGGCAACAAGGACGAGCGTGGACGAGTTGTGTTGTTCATGGTTATGACGACGACGATGATGATGATGGTGATGCTGGTGGCGGTGGTGGTGGCGATGGTTGGTAGCGGTGGGGGTGGCTAAGCGGGGAATGAAGGCTTGGACTGTTGACACTTTCTGCTTTATATCCAGCCTTAGATCGAGTCAACACTGATTAGAAAGGTTTCACCGCTCCCATAAAAATGTTCGTACACGCGCGCATACACACGCACGGACGCACGCACGCACGCACGCACGCACGCACACACCTCATTTTCGATATACCTCCTACACATACCTTCTCACGACACATATTTCAAATAAGCCACGTTTGTTAAAATCGCCTGTCATAAGCATAAAGAAACCTATAGCATAAGACGATATAAATAATGCATATTCTGTCCATGTGTATAGATAATATACGTGGAGACACCATGCATCGGCTTCCCGCCTTACCCCGTAATTTCACCGATCACAGCGCAATGTCACTGCGAACGCCCACCCACCGCACGCAACCCTAATAACGATATAAACACCACCTATTCCTCGATAACGTACCGGTTATACTCGAGTATAGCACTTATCTCATTCTACTCGTACAACGGCTTAAAAATTATTCTCCCTCTCCCAACCTTCATTCTCAGCTTCTGGCGCACCCTGTAGGTAGATACACGAACTAATCCGGTGCGAGCGCGGGCGCTAGCCTTGACCCTGGCTCATAAAAGAGCGAGAGGGAAGCGAGAAAGCGAGATAGAGAGCGAGCGAAAGAGACAGAGAGAGAGAGAGAGAGAGAGAGAGAGAGAGAGAGAGAGAGAGAGAGAGAGAGAGAGAGAGAGAGAGAGAGAGAGAGAGAGAGAGAGAGCGAAGACAGAGATAGACAGATATCATATATATAGAGAGAGCGAGCGAGAGAGCGAGAGATAGAGAGAGAAAGAAAGGCAGAGATAGATAAAGCGAGAGAGAGCAAAAGAGGGGAAGAGAGAGACAGATAGAGAGAGAGAGAGAGGGAGAGAGAGAGATATAGAGTGAGGAGGGACAGAGAGAGGAGGGAGAGAGAGAGAGGAGGGAGAGAGGGGCACAGGGCGAGAGAGAGAGAGAGAATGACAGCGATAAGACAGAGATAAATAAAGCGAGAGAGAGAAAAAGAGAAGGGAGAGAGGGAAAGAGAGAGAGAGAGAGAGATGGAGGGAGGGAGAGAGAGACAGAGGGAGAGAGATGGAGGGAGAGAGAGACAGAGGGAGAGAGATGGAGGGAGAGAAAGGGTGACGCAGGATTACACCTGCCCACCCCCGTCACAAACACACACAGCAACGACGACGCCATTCGGGCTTACTCAGAACTCATAGATCATGATGTGATTATTGCCTACGCCAAGGGGTTGGCAGGAGGTTGTTTTCACCGGCGTGTGTTTGTTGGTTTGTGCGTTGGTTTGTTTGTGTACAGCCTAACTGAAAAAGTTATGGACGGATTGTCATAAAATTTTCAGGATAGGTCAGAAATGGGCTAACTTTGAATTGATTAGATTTTGGTGGTGATCCGGATCCAGTTAATAAATGAATTAATCAAAGCCGCACTATGCGCATCTAAACGCTAATTTCTCCAGTACTAGACTAGCAAATACTTCGTGTCATGCATAATCACACTACCTTATGGCAAAACAAACTCTAGTTCATCCCATTTCAGTGCGCGTTTGCTTAAAACCCACAAGAAAGAGGTGCGAAATCTGGTAATCTGGCGCCAACGCTAAATTGTTTGCCAAACAATTTCGCCAAGAATCGGTTAGGTGACGTCACATGTGTTTATCTTTGCTACACCCGTACCGCTGTACCGCAGCACCGCTCCACCGTTGCTTGCCAGAGCAACGCGAAAGTGTCAACAACATCGGAGAATTTGAACAACATTGGAGGTATTTTCAAATGACTTTTAATGACACTGACAACGCGCAGTGAAATGGGAGGAACTAGAGTTTATTTTGTCATAAGGTAGTGTGATTATGCATGACACGAAGTATTTGCTAGTCTAGTACTGGAGAAATTAGCGTTTGGATGGCTATATAATGCGGCTTTAATTAATTAATGAATGGGGTAACTTAGAATTGATGACATTTTGGTGGTGATCCGGATCCAATTAATTAATTCATTAATAAAATTTTCAGGATAGGTCAGAAATGGGGTAACTTAGAATTGATTACAT